TGCTGATATTTGCTTTACATATTTAGGAGTGCATAAACATTGAGGTTTTACTATAGTTCAATGATGTTGTGTGTTTTTAATCCACTCAGCCTTTTGATTAGGGAGTTTAATTTATTTACATTTAAAATAATTACTAATGGGGAATGACTTGCTATTGCCATTTTGTTAGTTGTGGTCCATATCTTGTAGCTTTTTTGTCACTCCTTTTTTCTTGATGAATTGATCCTTTTTTATCATACAGAATGTCCTTCCTTCTTTATCTCTTGTAGTTTTTTATTTCAAGTTTATTTTATGATACTTTGTCTGATCCATCCTTGCTCTCTTTTGATTTACTGTATGAATAGAGTATCTTTTCCTATCCTTTTTACTTTCAGCCTAGGTGTGTCCTTAGATCTACAGTGAGTCTATTGTAGACAGCAAATACAGTAAACCCTTGACTTTATGGACCTCAATTTAAAAGTTACTATATTTGTGTATTTGCCTTTTCTGGAGAACTTTGTATTTTCCTGTAACTTCATGTCGATGTTTAGTCTTTTCTTTTCAACTTGAAGGACTCCTTTTAGCATTCTTGTATGGCGGATCTAACAGTAATGAACTCCCTGAACTTTTGTTTATCTGGGAAAGTCTTAATATCACCATTTTTGAAGGACAGTTTTGCCAGATATTGTATACTTGGTTGGTGGTTTTCTCTTTCAGCACTTTGTATATATCACGCTACTGCCTTCAGGTCTGCCAAGTTTCTGCTGAGAAATCTGGATATTCTTATAAAAACACACTTGCATGTAAAAAGTGGCTTTCCTCTCACTGATTTCAAGATTCTGTTCTTGACACTTGATGGATTGATTATCATGTGTGTCAGAGTAAATCTTTTTGGGTTTATCCTAGTGAGAGGTTGTTAGTCCCTTAAATTTGTATGTTCATTTATTTCCTCAGATTTGGGAAGTCTTATGCCATTAATTATTCAAATAGTTTCTCTGCCCCTTTCTCTTCCCTTTGGGTCTCCCCCATAGGACATATATTAGTTCACTTGGTGCAGCTGACAATGTCCCCTAAATCCCTTAAGCTCTCACTTTTCTTCATTCTTTTTTCTTTTGCTCCTCTGACTTGATGACTTCAAATAACCTATCTTTACCTTTGCTGCTTCTTTCTTCTGCCTGATTAAGTCTGCAGTTGATCCTCTCTAATGAATTTTTCAATTCAATTATTGTATTATTCAGCTCCAGAATTAGTTTGGTTCTTACAATTTCTATTATTTTGTTGGCATTTTCAAATTGCTCATGCACTGTTTTCCTGATTTTACTTAGTTATCTATTTCTGTTCTCTTTTAGCTCACTGAGATTCTTTGGGAGAGTTTTTAAATTTTTTGTCTGGAAGTTCAGAGATCTGCATATTTTATAGTTAGATTCTGGAGCTTTGTTTTGTTTCTTTGATTAAGCCATATGCCCCTTTTTCTTTGTATGCCTGGTAATCTTTTTTTGATTTGGTCATTTGAAAACAAAAACACCTCCCCTAGTCTTTACAACTGACTGGCTTTGTGCAGGAGAAGACCTTCACCAATCATCCCAGCTAGACATTCTTTTTTTTTTTTTTAATATTTTAAAATATTTACTGATTTCAGAGACAGAAATATCGATATGTTGTTCCACTTTATATATGCACTCATTGGTTGATTCTTGTATGTGCCCTAAGGATCGAACCCACAATCCTGACATATCAGGACGATGCTCTAACCAACTGAGCTACCCAGCCAGGGCCTCCCAGCTAGTCATTCTTAATTTTGCTAGAAATGTGTGCCTTTTTTTTTAATATATTTTTATTGATTTCACAGAGAGGAAAGGAGAGGGAGAGAGAGAGAAACATCAATGATGAGAGAGTCATTGATCTGCTGCAGCCCACAGCTCGGGCATGTGCCCTGACCGGGAATCGAACCCTGATCGCCTGGATCCTAGGTTGATGCTCAACCACTGAGCCATACCCGGTCAGGCAGAAATGTGTGCTTTTAACTGTCTTAATTGCCAATGTGGCTACCCATTTCTTCTCGGGCCCATAATCTCTTTCTACCCTGCCATTTGCCTGTGGAAGTACAGCTCTAGGCTACTCTAATATACTGTAGCACTCATATTTATTTTCTGAGGCTTTCGAACAACTCCTCGTTCTCATCAGCACCCTGAGTCAGGTGAAAGAGAAACCAATCCTGTATCTAGTCCCTGACAAGCTAAAATGTCGGACACACAGTCTACTTTCGTTTCTGTCCCAAGGGAGGAGCTCTGGTATGTGTTTTCTTCTGACTGCACTGTGCTACACTAGAAAAGGTACACACATTCAAAATGCCAGAAACTTTTCTAATCCTTTTCATGGAGTCTCTTCCTACTTATGTGTTGGCCTGGGTGCTGCAACTTCTCAACAAGTCTCTAGAATTCTTACAAACGTGTTTTGGTCAGTATATTGTTAACTCAGTATCTCTGCTGGGGAACAAGGGCCTGGAGCTTCCTATTCTGCCATCTTGATGACAGCAATCTACAGATATTTTTTCAACCATCATTTTTAATACATCTTAGCAGGTTCCACTTAGGGTTGTACTTCATTCCTCTTTTCTCAATTATTTTTAAAAACATTCCACCTCTCTGTTTTTGAGTCACACATGAAAATTAGTCTTATAAGGTATACCAATTTGATCATCTACTTAATTTACCACATTTAGTCCCCAATGTTTTTTTTTTGTGTTTTAAAATATTTAATCAATCCTCAAATGACAATGAGTCACAAACGTAAAAAATATATACAACAAAATGCACGAATTTTTAAAGGTAATTTGGGAAGAGATTATTTGGCAAAAATATTTGAGTCATACTAGTATATATACTTAAAATAAATATAGTGATCAAAGTTTCATACAATAATGCTATTATAAAAGTTTCAAAAAAAGGGCTGTAGTATTTCAAAACCATAAATTGTACATATTCATAAAAAATCTTAATATTTGCTTATGTTGGCCACAAGTGTATTCAATTAATTAATTTATTAATATGGTACTACTTCTCTTTCTCTTAGTCTATTAAGAAGGCTATTCAAGCCCTACCTAGTTTCTCAGTGGGTAGAGTGTCGGCCTTTGGACTGAAGGATATTGGGTTTGATTCCAGTCAAGAGCACATACCTTGATGTGTCTCTCTCACATCAATGTTTCTCTCTCTCCCTCCCACTCTCTCTGAAAAGCAATGGAAAAAATATCCTCAGGTAAGGATTAAAAAAATAATAAGGCTATTCATAAGCTTTAGGATTATTTTACCTTTACTAATATGTTAGTAGCCATAAACTGAAAATAGTATTTTAGCCCGGTTTGGCGTGGCTCAGCAGTTGAGCATCAACCTATGATCCAGGAGATTGTGGTTCGATTCCTGGTCAGGGCACATGCCCAGGTTGCAGGCTTGATCCCCAGCAAGGGACGTGCAGGAGGCAGCTGATCAATGACTCTCATCATTAATGTTTCCATCTCTCTCTCCCTCTCCCTTCCTCTCTCTGAAAGATATATTTAAAAAATAATAATAATAATATTTTAGTTAAGGATCTAGGCTCAACAAAAATTGTTTTCCAGAATAAGTCAATAAATGACTATATTTAAGAATGATTAAAAGTATCTTATGACAAACATATGCTAAATAGTCTCCTTTTATGCCATTAATCTGGTATAAAAACAGAATATTACATGATCCATATTCCATTAGTTAAAAATGTCAATTGTTAGTCCTAATATCCTAGTACTATCCTATCGCATCTAGTTCTAACAAATGAAATTTCTCCACAGAACTTTAATACTGTAGCCTTTCCTAATTAGCAGCTACTTCTAAAGTAAGGCTAGAAGTAGACAGAATAGCTGATGTAGGTGTAAAAGGGACAAAATTCTAAACAAAGGTGTATTTGTTTCCTATTGGACCTGCACTCCTTTCTGGAAGCTAAGGGAGGATCTACTTTTTTGTTTATTCAAGTTGCTAACAACATTCAGTTCTCTGTGGTTGTAGGACTGAGATCCCTGTTTCCTTGCTGGATGTCAGCAGAAGTTAATTCCTAGCTTCTGGAACTGACCGAATTTCTTAGCTCATGGCCTTCTTATTGCCTCTTCAAAGTCAGCAAGGATGAATTAAGTCTCTGACCTACTCGTCTGCCTCTTCATTTGGTTTAAAGAGTTCCTGTGATTACTGAGCCCACCCAGATAACCCTGGTCAATCTCTAATTGAAGGTCAGCTGATTAGCAACCTTAATTCACTTCTGCCATGTAACCGAACATACTGACAGGTTCCAGGGATTAAGATAGGAACATCTTGGGGCCATTATTCTGCCTAGCATAAAAGGCATTTAGAAGAAACTTTTTAGATAAGGGTGAAAACTAAAAATAATTTCCCAATATGAAACCCTAGCCTGTACATGATAATCATGAAACTGTTTCTGAAAACATTAAACCAAACAAGTTTACATGTATACTCTTCAGAGTTTTAATGTATTTCTTGTAGAATATAACTATCAATCCCTAATGATCATTTATACCAACTAGAAATCATGAGTACCAATATCCAAATTAATGTCTATAATTTAACAAAAGTAATTGCTCTTTGTTAATGAGAAGACCCCTGAAAATAGATCTTTTATCCCTTTATAACAAAAAGCAAAATAAGAGTTATTTTAGTGGGAATGAATACTAAAATGGTATGTATCAGGAACTGCTCACATCACTGATTATTTACCTAACTCTAATATACAATTATTTTCCCATTTTGGAGGTAGGTTTTTAACTTATGGTCTCTATTTTTAAAAAGAAATTTCTATCATGTTAAAAAATATATAAATATGAATTAAAAATAATTAAGCCTGAAATGAATTTTTTTAGAATTATTGATATGGTCAATTTTCTACCAAAAATACTTTCAATATTATTTCTATATACTATAGGCCTTCCTTTTTAAATCTTTATATCTACTGAGTCATATATTTCAAATTAAAAAACAAACCTTTACACACTTCTCTTGAATATCATTTCTCTGAGAAGCAAATTTGAGTAGCAGCTTTTCACCATCCACCCCAGATTCTTCACTTTTCAATTTGCTAAGGTGATAGTCCGAAATCCAGTCCATGAAGACAGATAAAAGTTCGTAAACTTGTGCATTAAGGGGTACCTATTTGTAAAAAATTAAACATTTCAGTTCACAATCTCATAAAACTTCAAAGGCAAACTTTAAATTTGGTGATTATAGAATAATTTACCTAAAGCACTTCACTAAAATATGTATTCAAAAAGCTCCAGATGAAAACATTCCAAATCAAACATCTCCAATTAACATTAGAAACACATTAAATGCTGGCTGAGAGGAGAAAACTCATCATGATAAGGAAATTGAAAGCTCTGCACCTCATTACCAAAACAGAGAAGTTCTATAAAAATTCTTTATCCAAGTTTGATAACATAGAAAAGTAAAATTGGTCTTAATTTGAGGGCATGAACTACCATCAGTAAAAGATTTTAACAAATTAATGGTTTAAAAGCTAAATGATTTCCACCATGAAAATTTATATTTTCTTCTCCAAAATGCTGTTTCTTTTGTCTTTACATTATAGCATGTTAAAAACATGATAAGAAAATTTTTTTCTTAGAAATTCTGTTCTCTGAGAGTATACCAAAATGGGGAGAAAAAAATAAAAACAAAATGCCACAAAAAATGTTTATATTCAGTCAGGTTAATTTTAGTGTTAGTTAAAATCACTTTTAGTCAATTTAATTCAATATTTATCACACATCTACTTAAAGCAAAAAATTATGCTACATTTAATTATTTTTAAAAATCTGAAGAGAAATATAAAAGCAAATTAATTTTTAAAACTAACAAAAAGGTAACATTAAGCAGATAGCAATCCATAAAAATAGAATCAGATGACTGAAAACAAAAAGTTACATTACTCTATAGAAAATAAACTTTTATTCTGTATAAAATAAAACTTCTCAATTTTCTTCAAATAAAATCTTCAGATGAAAATTTCAACCATCTTAAGAACCTGAATATAGAATCTTCACTTTTTCCAATTTTAATTAAAAATGTGTTTCACCACCAGCATCCATGGAAGGTTATATGCCAGTAAAAGGGGGTGTGGGATTCATGACATATGACCATTTACAACCACAAAAAAAACCTTTGTATATATCTGGTGCCTACAGGCAGGGCAGTGGCTGCCAAATCAGGCCAACCCTATGTGCACAGAACATTATAGGTTCCAGGCCAATAGAAAAGGTAGACGTTGGGCTTGGGACACTCAGGAAAGGTATGCTGGTTTGTGTTCCCACCTGACTGTGGTCCCTGGACTCCAGGGACCCTAAGGGCCTGGGCCAACATGATAACATGGCTGTGGTTACGCCATTTGTACATGACCTCCACTTCCTGCAGTCTGCCCACTCCCAGTGAAGTGCTTAGGAACTGCTCTCACAATGCAGGTAACCTGAGGTGAGCAGTCACAGGTAGACAGCCAGGTAGTTCAAGGACCTCTGGTTGTTGAAGGAGGCCAGCAGGTCAACTACTGAAATCTGTTTTTCAACCTACTCGATCAAGTTTATGAAAGGGTTGTGGAAATCCTCAACTGTGAACTCAAAAAGAAGCCCTAGGACACCAGGTCCTCTTTGCTCTTCGCAGACACAGCCTTGAACCGCTATAATTCTTTGCACCTACAAATGGGAAAGTCCAAAAGCTCAACAGAAGCATTTCCAATCAGGCTTGGTCTTGCAGATATATGTGTACTTCCTGTGGAGGTCCTTGATCTTCTATTGATTGATGTCGTTCTCAACATACTTGTTACAGGACTGACAGCTCCAGCAGCTCTAAGACCAGAGGGCTGGGCTCCCCACAGCAATCTTTTGCTGAATTTGGTCCTGCTGAGCCATGGTGGCTTTAGAGTCCCTGCCCAACAGCAGCTCCTGCTTTTGTTGCTGAGGCTCCTCTGCCACCATTATTAAACTCCCAATTTACTTTATAAAAATAACTAGAGAATTCATCAAAACTACTAAAGCCCACAACTAGATATCACTACCTACCCACTGGGAAGGTCAAAGTGAAAAAGACTAAAACCACCAAAAGTTGGCAAGGTTATGAAGCAACCAGAACAATCATACATGGCTAGGAGAAGAAAAAAATGATACAACCACTTTGGAATACTGTTTGGCAGTTTCGTTAAAATTAAATATACATCTACTTTATGACCCAGAAATTTCAGTCTTGGTAACATTTCCAAGAGGAATGAAAACATACTCTACAAAGAGCCTTGCACACAATATTCCTAGCATGTTTATTTATACTAAACAAAAACTAGAAACAGCTCGGGTGTCTATCAACAAAAAGGATAAACAAACTGATATATAATAGAAAATTACTGAGCAATACAGAGGAACAAACTACTTGCACAAACGAGTAAATACTATCCAACTCCACTGACTAAAGTTCTAAAATAGGCAAAATTAATTTATGGTAATAGAAATCAGATCGACTACTATTTCTTGCAAAGAACAAGAGGGAAAAGGGACATGAGGGAACTTTCTAGGGTAATGGAAATATTCTATATCTAGTTGTAGGTTACATGAGTGTAGGCATTTGTCAAAACTGATCAAACTGTACACTTAAGGATCTGTATTATGTTACTGAATGTAATTATACCCCATTATGTTATGTATGTAATTTATACCCCAAAATGAAAAAAAAAAATTCTTAAGAGAAAAAATAATAAATGGAGCCCATCCAAGGGATGGATTGCAGTTTTGACAGAAAATTAACAATGAATCTCAAAACACAATGAATCTTATGGAATCTCAAAACACAATGAATAATAAAACTATTATTAAGCTTAAAATCCTGTGACCTATCAGTGTTACTGTGCCTGAAACACTGCTGAAATATTGTTTTGTTTGTGCAAATAAAAGTATATTTGAAATATTACACAGACATTCCTTTCATACCAAAAACAATGTTTGCTAAATGAAATAAAAAGATTAAAGAAAAAAGAGAAAACTCCCTGGCCTTCCACTGGAGAAAATTTCAATAATATCATACCTTATATGTTTTTGAAACTGGTATTTTTTCTTGTTTCAAACTTTTCATCTCGTGAGCAGCATGGGAATTTCCTTTCAATTTCTGTATTGTCATAAACTCATACTTCCTCTGCAACAGCACATTATCCATGAATTAAAGAACAATTACATTAAAAGTGAGAAAATCCAAAGGCATTCATTTTAAAATTCACTAATGTTAAAAAAGAACAAACAACTTACCTGTAAATTCTCTAAACGAGCTTGAACTCTTTTAGCCTGAATCTCCATCTTCTTGTTTTCTTCACTTACTTCATTTAACTAAAATAGAAATATGTTAGAGATTTAAATATAACCCTTAAACTGATATCATATTAAAGGTTTCCCAAATAATCTACTATCTTACATAGTCTGCATAACTAAGCAATGGAACAAAACAGAGGTAGCTTTCATGATTAAAGATCACAGTTAACATCACCATTTGTCCCCAAAACATTAATAGTATCTAAGTCTACCTCATTCTATGAAAAATCTGCAAGTCTCCTGACATCTCACAATGTCTTTTAATTGCACTTTCTACAGAACTATAATGTATGTATAGAAAAGTGTGAAAATCATTAAGTATGCAGTGTAATGAATTATTGGGATTGTATTAAATATATTAATTTGGGAAAACTGATATCTATACAATATTGAGTCTTTCCATTCATGAACATAGCATAGCCTTCAATTTATTTAGGTCTTCTTTATTTTCGTTTAATAATGTTTTGTTTTTTTCAGTATAGATATTTTACACATCTTTCCTTAGATTTATTTCTGGACAGCTAATGTTTTTCTATGCTGTTACCTATGGTATCTTTCAATAAATAACATTTATTATTTGACTGTTGATATATAGAAATACATTTGATTTTTGTATATTAAACTTATATCCAAAGATTCTTCTAAATTTGCTTAATTCTAATAACTCATCTATACACTCCTTTGCATACCTACATACATGGTCATGTCATCTAGGCATAATTCTGATTTCTTCCTTTCCGATCCTTATTTTCCATATTTCATTGACTAGGACTTTCAGTATAATGTTCAACAGAAAGAGTAATAGTAAGCACATTCATTTTGTTATGAACTCAGAGGGAGAATGTTTCAATAACTTGCATTCATTAAGTATAAATTTATTGTTGGATTTTCTTAGATTATCAGAATTATGATGGTCTCTTCTATTACTGGTAATTATGAGTTGTTGCTGAATTTTACATCACAGGAATTATAATGATTTTTCTCCTTTTATGAGAAATGCACTAATTTACAAATGATAAACCACCCTTGTATTTCTGAACTAAATCCACTTAGTTGTATTACCCTTTTTATGTATCCCTGAATTCAATTTGCTGATATTTTTAAATTTTACACCTATATTCATAAGAGGCTGTTTTCCATTTTTCTTTGCTTATAATGTTGAGTTTCAAGGTTATGCTGGCCTCATACAACAAGAAGGGGAATTTTTCTCTCTTTTTCTATTTATGTTTAAGGTGCATGATACTTCATCCTTAAAAGTTAGTCATGAGACTTAGTATTCCTTCTTTGAAGATAAGGTGTCTTATTTTTCTCTGACCACTTTTAAGGTTTTTATCTTTACCGAAAGTTTTCAATGGTCTTAAAATAATGTGTCTATGTATGTACGGTTTTCCTTAAAATTTATCCTGCTTAGGGTTAACATAATTTCTTAAGTCTATGGATTGGCAACTTTCACCATTTTAAAAAATTCATGACCATTATCTCTTCACATATTTATCTCTTTTCGGAACACCAATGTTAAACTCTTTAACTAGATTCCATGTCTCATTTATGAATTTCTATTTTTTCTCCACTCGATGTTTTCATTTTAATACTTTTCATGACACTGCCTTCCAGTGCACTAACCCTGCCTTCTGCTGTATCTCATCTACTGTTAAAACCATTTATTGGATATTTAAAATTCAATTAATGTAGTTTTCAGTTTTAGAATTTCAATTTAATTCCATTTTATAGATTCTAATTCTCTAATGAAGTTCTCAATCTTTTTTCTACTTTATTGAATCATTTTCTACTTTATTTAATCATTAAAGTCATCGCCTATTAACTCTAATATCTGGATCACCTGTAAGTATGTTCATATTGTCTGGTGTGTTTTTCTCTCCATATTTAGTCATATAATTCTATCTTTTTTTTTTTCTTTTATCATTGACTTGAGAGAGAGAGGAACGGAGAAGGGAGGGAGAGAGAGAGAGAAACATCAATTTGTTTTTCCACTTATTTATGCATTCATTGGTTGGTTCTTGTATGTATCCTGACCCAAGATCAAACTCACAACCTTGGAGTATCAGGACAATGCTCTATCCAACAGAGCTACCCAGCCAGGGGCTACGATTCTTTCTTTTAATGTGCTTATTAATTCTGTATAGAATAACAGATTACAATTTTTATACATATGATATCTTCTTTCAATAAGGGCTGATCCTTTCCTCTGTTAGGTAATTTTTTTTTAAATATATCTTTATTGATTTCAGAGAGAGGAAAGGAGAGGGAGAGAGAGAGAAACATCAATGATGAGAGAGTCACTGATCAGCTGTCTAGCCTGCAACCCAGGCATGTGCCCTGACCGGGAATCAAACCCCAATCGCCGGGATCCGAGGTTGACGCTCAACCGCTGAGCCACACCCGGCCAGGCTCTGCTAGGTATTTAAAATGGGGACTGATCACCTTAATCTGATCAGGAACTGAGATGAGTCAAGGAGAGGTTTCAGTTTGAACCGGGTTCTGTCTACCTCTAATTCACCTCCGCCTAGGGTACAAGCCTGCTACTTTCAGCTGTGAGCCTGGGGTGTTCCCTGGGACTATCTCCCCCAATGAGTCTTGAACAGTAATCCTTGTATCCTCAGCTTGCTAAGACTTAACGGAAAATTTATTATTATTACTATTATTATTATTATCACTACTAAAGCAAATTTATTTATATCCAATGCTATCACAAAGTGCTATACAAGTGATTCACAGAAATAACTGACCTTTATATATAGCAATTTCAAAGCATAAATCATTCATTATGCCAGAAGCTGGCAAACTATGGCATGTGGGCCACGTCTGACCACTGTCTGTTTTTATAAATAAGGTCTTATTAGGACACATCCATGCTCATTCACTTACTTACTGCCTATAACTACTTTTGCAGAGTTGAGTCATTATGACAGAGACCACATGGCCCACAAAGTCCAAAATATTTACTATCTGGTCTTTTAACAGAAAATATTTGCTGACCCCTGATATATGCTAAACAAACTAACCATAAAAAAGTATTCTGCCACTTCATACCAAAGAGTTTCTCTCCCAACCTCTTTCAGTTTGGAAACATTGGCATAAATCCAATTATCAACAGGTCCAATCATTTACTAATGCACACAGCCACTCCAATCACCACACACTCATGCAAGCACATGTAAAATTATTAAGGATTACATAAATATAAACCTAGAGATAGGAATGGGCAACAATGGACCCAAGCTAGCAATGAAAGAAATCCTTATCTTTCTTGAGTGCCAGACTGAGATTGTGATGGGGAAGAGTAATCTCTCTAGGGATACCATAAGCCCCCAAACAACAGTAAGTCAAGGCCATATTCCAATCGTGGGAGGCCATGAATAAGCTCAGGAAAGCCAAAGCACTAGATGGAATGAAAAATAGGGCGCCTGCTTATCACTGCAAAGGAGAAAGGTGGTAACAAGTAGTTCAAAATTCATCAGGGACATCAAGAATAAACACAAAGAGCCCTGGCCAGGGGCTCAGGTGGTTGCAGCGCCGTCCCATGCACCAAAAGTCTGTGGATTCAATGCCCAGTCAGGGCACATACCTAGGCTGTGGGTTCGATCCCCAGTCAGGGCATATACAGGAGGCAGCTGATAGATATTTCTCTCTCTCTTTCCCTTCCTCTCTCTCTAAAATCAGTAACGACATACCCTTGGATGAGGATTTTCAAAAAAGAAAATAAAAACAGAAAACACACAGCCAGCTAAGGAATCTCAGGAGGCAAATTAACTCTGAGAATCTGAGCTTAGATACACTTTAGAATCCATAAAGTTTCCCAGTCAGTGCTTTAATTGTTAGAGTGACGGAGCTTAGCCCTTTCTGCTTATCCACTTCTCCTTCCCACAAATACAGATAATCATTCTCCTGTCCCTCTTCAACATAGACCTTCACTTTCACATTTTTCAGTCAAAAGCTAGCAAAGGGAAGTTGAAAAAAGAAAAAGAAAAAAATGATATAATTCACAAAAATATTTGTTATGCAACTTTAGTATTATCAAGTACTGCCTTAAATTATACCACACTATAAATAAATATGATACCAGTCTACACTCATGAGAGTATGAACAATGTAAAGACTTCCTTCTCGTACGGTGCCTAGCATATAATAGATACCCACAAAATAAATGAATGTTAAATAAGCAGTAATGTGTAACAGCAGTTAAGAGTCCCCAGGTTACTGGGGTTTTTCCTTTTGCTTGTTTTTAAATCTAATACTTGCTTTTATATTTTAAAATATTTCAACTTGCCAAACTTCTCATCTAGTTGCCAGAATAGAAAGTGAGAAATTAAAAGCTTAAGAATATTTTATTTTATTATTTTATTTTTAATATATCTTTATTGATTTTAGAGAGAGGAAAGGAGAGGGAGAGAGAGAGACAGAAACATCAATGATGAGAGAGTCATTTATCGAGCCCACAACTCGGGCATGTGCCCTGACCGGGAATCGAACCCCGATCGCCTGGATCCCAGGTCGACACTCAACCGCTCAGCCATGCCCAGCCAGGCAAGAATATTTTATATTTGTAAGTATTTTGTAATAAAGCTACCAAAGTTAATCAAATATTTCTCTAACCAGAAGATGTTTTAAGACTTATTTGTTAAATGTAAACCATATAGTTCCAAGAATGTCTTGCAATCTAATATATATTAAAGTTGATCTTACCTGTTTTTTTAAGTTATCATTCAATTCTTTCAAGGCATCAAAAGAAGACCTTAGCCTCTTGCTTTCTTTGTTTTTTTCCTTAAGAACCTCAGTTAAGTGTGCAACTTCTGCGTCACGCTGCTAAGAGGGGGAAAATCTTATCTAAAAATTAGGTAAGGATTCCTTGTCCCTAATAGTACTGAACATAAATTAAAAATTAGAACTCCATGAATCAAAAGGATTTTCATCAGATGTTTAAGCATACATGACTAAGACTGTAAATAATTTATAAACTCTGTATAATGAATCAAAGTACTAGCCAAGCATTAAACGCAATTGCGAAATACCTATTAAAACATATTACACAAATTAAGCAGCAATAAAGCTTCTGCTCAGAAAAATCCACCACAGAAGCTCAATGAAATAATTTCTATTTGACATCACAGAATGATAAAACAAAGAAGGATTTCAGATCCTTTTCAAGAGACTAGTTATTCATAGCTTTACAGACTGAAATTTAAGGTTTAAGTTACCCTTAAGGAGCATAAGGAATCATCCACAGACAGAACAAAATAATTTCTTTTTCTCATAAAGTAGTTAAAATAGTTTTACATCTCAAAAAATTTACATACATAATAAATTTTCTCTGATCCCCTATTTGACTCTTCTTAATCAGTTTTATAAATGATTCAAATCAATTTCTCCTCTAATAACATTTAAATGAGATAGCATATTTTCAACTTAAAGTACTGTATGTATATTTATTGTTTCTTTTACCTTTTACTCTTAATTCATTCCTAATGTATTTTAAAAAGCAAGTTTACATAGGAAATAAAAAACATTAGTTTCTTCTTCTAAGTAATTATATAGGTACCATTAAAATACAGCAGCTTATTAAGTTCTTTAGATTCCACATGTAACAGAATAGATTCAATGACATGGAAGCATAGATCAGACTGACGAATGTCAGAGGGATGGAGGAGGGCGGGTGGGTGGAGGGGGAGAGAGTAACCAAAGAATTTATACGCATATATGCACAACTCAAGGACACGAACAATGGTGGGAGAGGGACTGGGGAGGGGGATGGGACAGGGTGGAACAGGTCACTGGGGAGAAAAAGGGACATCTGTAATATTTTAAACAAAAATTAAATTAAAAAAAAATACAGCAGCTATCTTTTACACTTAATAAGAATAGCAGACAGACAAATCTAAAGAGAAAGGAAAAAAAGAATAAAAGTAGGATAGAGAGCTCTGGGAATCCAAGCATTCCTTCTTCTGAAATCATGTTTAAAAATCCAATCATCTGCAAAACTTAGGTTTATGTGATTTTGTAATTACATTAAATGATTCCTCAAATAACTCAGGATATAGTCACTAGGACTTATTCCTGGGATGCAAGGTTGTTTCAATATCCGCAAATCAATAAATGTGATACATTACATAAACAAAATAAAGGATAAAAATCACCTGATCATATCAATAGATGCAGAAAAAGCATTTAACAAAATCCAGCATCCATTTATGATTAAAAACTCTCAGCAAAGTGGGAATAGAGGGATCATACCACAACACAATAAAGGCCATATATGAAAAACCTACAGCTAACATCATAACCAACAGGGATAAACTTAAAGCACTTCCCTTAAGATCAGGAACAAGACAGGGATGTACCCCTTCCACCACTCTTACTCAACATAGCACTGAAAGTCCTAGCCACAGCAATCAGACAAGAAGAAAAAATAAAAGGTATCCAAATTGGAAAGGAGGAAGTAAAACTGTTATAATTTGCAGATGACATGATACTATATATACAGAACTCTAAAGATTCCATCAAAAAACTACTAGAACTGATCAATGAATTCAGTAAAGTAGCAGGATACAAAATAACCTTTCAGAAATCAGTTACATTTTTATACATCAATAATAAACTCTCAGAGAAGGAAACTAAGAAAACCATCCCATTTACAATTGCATCAAAAAAATTAAATACCATACTACCCTGGGCTGTGGAAGAGAGTACTTCATGAAGTATCTCAGCCCAGTGTTGAGGTTCTAGACTTAGAAAATAACCCCTTTGTATAGAGGGATTGTGGTGAGAATCAAGGCTAAGATGTGTATTTTCTCACTCTAATATGAATGGGAGAAAGAGAAAATGACTCAGGAAGCCACTGTAACAGTTGGAAGCTGGGGTCCTCTCATTGGTGTATACACTCTCCTTGCTGCACGGCAATATTCCACCCGGATCCAGCTGCAAAGTTTATTTGGAAAGTTGAAGGTCTCTCTTAGTTCTACTGGATTCGCAGGGAGCCCTCTATGGCCTTTTGCTTTGAGCGCTGTGTTTCCCTTTTAGCAGAGGTCAGCACTGTATAAATTCCTGTTCGATTGGATTGCATTACTGACAAAGGAATGAAAGACCATATATTGGGCAGAAGTCACCATTCAAGGCTAAGATGGGCTTCCAGTTGCCTTAATATTAAGTACTGAAGTCTCTTGAATAGTGAGCTGGAAAGCCTATAGGAGAAGAGTGGGTTCCTGTTTTCATTTGAAAACTTTATGATTAAGGGAACTTTAAAAAACTGATCTCGCCCGGCCAGGCGTGGCTCAGGGGTTGAGCGTTGACCTAGGATCCAGGCGATCGGGGTTCGATTCCCGGTCAGGGCACATGCCCAGGTTGTGGGCTCGATCAATAACTCTCTCATCATTGATGTTTCTGTCTCCCTCTCTCTGTCTCCTTTCCTCTCTCTGAAATAAATAAAGATATATTTAAAAAAAACTGATCTCATAAATTTTGGTGCTCATGTGGCCGTAGTTGTTCACTGCTTCCCTTGATGAATGAGACTCTTATTGCTGTTGTAACTAACACGTTCCTTTGCCTCCTAGCTAAAGCCTTTCCCAAAGGGATAGCTTTGGAAAAGCTTCTGCCCAATATATGGTCTTTCATTCCTTTGTCAGTAAGATAAAACTTTGGCTTTGGTGTAGTGTATCTGTAAATACCACTTTCAAGCATCTTTTCTTTAATGTTTTGATTGGTTTGTATCTCACAGCATAGACCAAAAGCTACAGAGCAAAGGTGGAGAGATCAGAGTGCAATTTAAAAATATCACCCACTGATGGGCACTTAGGCTGCTTCCAAACCTTGGCTATTGTGAATAACGCTGCAATGAATAGAGAGGTGCATGTGTTCTTTTGGATTGGTGTTTCGGGTTTCTTTGGATATATTCCTAGAAGTGGAATTACTGGGTCATAGGGCAGTTCCATTTTTAATTTTCAAAAAGACATAAAAATAAACATGAAAACAAGGTTCAAACAACTGAAGAAAATAAATTGGCTGAAACCATTCCTTAACAAGCACAGGCCTCAGACTTACTAGATAAAGACTTTAAAATAACTCTCTTAAATTTGCTCAAAGAATTAAAGAAAACCATAAAGTACTGAAGAAAATATGAAAAATTACATACAAACAAAAGAGAATATCACCAAACTGGAATTACAACTAAAATATAGAAAAACCATGCTGAATAATCAACTGCAACTGAAGACTAGCTGGAGAGCACCCTCATGATTACAGACAAAAAGTGGAGACCACATAGAGACTGGTGGGAAGTGTGGAGGCACAAGAGGGCTGGCTGGGCTCCCACAGGCAGCAGCTGAAGGTCTGGAAGGGTATCTCAGCTGTGGGAGGGTTCCCATCGAGGACTCTGGGGTCCAGACCCCAGGCTGGGCTTTCCAGCCAAGAGCACCAGAAATGTAAAATGTGAAACCATAAAAATCCTAGAAGAAAATTTAGGCCGCAAAATCTCAGGTATCTCTCGTAGCAATATGTTTGCCAATACATTTTCTAGGGCAAGAAAAACAAAGGAGAAAATAAACAAAATGGGACTATATCAAAATAAAAAGCTTCTGCACAGCAAAAGAAACCATCAACAAAATGAAAAGGGAGCCTACTGTATGGGAGAACATATTTGCCAATGACACATCTGATAAAGGGTTAATATCCAAAATATATAAGGAACTCATACACCTTAACAAAAGGAAGATGAACAATCCAATTAAAAAATAGGCAAAGGACCTAAACAGACACTTCTCCAAAGAGGACATACAGATAGCCAAGAGACATATGAAAAAATGCTCAAAGTCACTAATCATCAGAGAGATGCAAATTAAAACCACAACGAGGTACCACTTCACACCTGTCAGAATGGTTACTACCAACAAATCAACAAATGACGAGTGCTGGAGAGGATATGGAGAAAGGGGAACCCTAGTACACTGCTGGTGGGAATGCAGACTGATACAGCCACTATGGAAAACAGAATGCAGTTTCCTCAAAAAATTAAAAATTGAACTTCCATTTGACCCAGTGATCCCACTTCTAGGACTATATCCTAAGAAACCCAAAATACCAATCAGAAAAAACTTATGCACCCCTATGTTCATAGTAGCACAATTTACAATAGCTAAGATCTGGAAACAGCCCAAGTGCCCATCAGTAGATGAGTGGATAAAAAAGCTGTGGGACATTTACACCATGGAATACTATGCAGCCATAAAAAAGAAGGATGAAAGAAAGGCAAGTATCACGTGATCTCACTCATATGTAGAATATCATAAACAAACTGACAAATAAAATAGATCCAGAAACATACAAGCATGGAACAGACTGAGAGATCTCAGAGGGAAGGCAGGGATGGGGCAGTGGGTGGGGAGAGATTAATCAAAGAACTTATACACTTATATGCATAATCTATGGACAAAGACATTGGTATAGGTAAGGCCTGGGGGTGGGGTGGATGCAGGATGGAGGGGATCAATGGGGGAGAAAAGGGGACATCTGTAATACTTTCAACAATAAAGATAAATTTTTTAAAAAAAGAAATGAAAGAATCCTCAATATGATCATCAGTGTATTCATAAGCAGAAATTTTAAAGGCTATAAAGTAGTGAGACGAAACAAGTACTATAAGAAAAAAAACTGTCAACCAAGAATTCTATACCAACAAAACTGTCCTTCAAAAATAAAAGAAACAGCAAGGTATTCCCTGATAAAAACTGAGGAAGTTCATTACTATTAGATCTACCCTACAATAAATGCTAAAAAGAGTCCTTTAAATTGAAGTTAAAGGACACTAGACAGTAAATCAAAGCCACATACAGAGATAAAGCTCTCTGGTAAAGCTAAGTACAATGGCATATTAAAAACTAGCATTATTGCAATTTTGACTTATACTCAACTGTGCATTTTATACAGAATTTAAAAAGAAAAATGAATAAGCATAATTATAATTTTTAAAAAGTCAAAATATAAATAAAAATACCACAAAAGCCCTAGCCAGTGTGGCTGTTGGTTGGGCATTGTCCCATGCTCCAAAAGACTGCTCATTCGATTCCTGGTCAAGGCACATGGCCAGGTTGTGGGCTTGATGTCCAGTGGGGAACGTGTGGGAAGCAGCCAATCAATGTTTCTTTCCCTCCCCCCCCTTCCTCTTTCTAAAAATCAATTAAAGCCCTGGCTGGTTTGGCTCAGTGGTTAGAGCGTTGGCCTATGGAATGAAGGATCCCGGGTTTGATTCCAGCCAAGGGCATGTGCCTTGGTTGCAGGTTACATCCCAGGCCCGTCAGGGCTCGTGCTGGAGAGAACCAATCCATGTGTTTCTCTCACATCAATGTTTCTCTCTCTCTTTCTCTCTCTCTCTCCCCCTTCCACTTTCTTTAAAAAGCAATGGAAAAAATATCCTCGGATGAAGATTAAAAAATAAATTTAAAAAAATAAAGAATAAAAATAAAAGACATCTGGAGAACCAATTGGGAAAGTGAGTGTAAATTGTACATTAAGTTAAATTATTTAATTACCATTAATTTCCTAATATGATAACAATGCAGAGAATGTTTTTATTCTTAGAAGATACATACTCCGAAAAATTATTCATAATACTAAAGAAATATTTAGGCGTGCTGTATCATGATTTCTGCAAGTTACTTTCAAATCATCTAGGGAAAAAAGTGTGTGTGTGTGTGTGTGTGTGTGTGTGTGTGTGTGTGTGTGAGAGAGAGAGAGAGAGAAAGAGAGAGAGAGAGAGGGAGGGAGGGAGAAGGGTGTGGCAGGAAGAAATAAAGCGTATGTGGCAAAATGCTAATAACTAGTGAGTCTAAATTGAGAAGAAAAAGAGAAACTCTAAAATCAAATGCTATAGTTACCTCCTTCATGATCTGAAACCTTGTAAGAACTTCTTCCTCCACACCTTTCATTTTATTCAAGGCAGTTTCATGTCTGAACAGCAGTTGTTCTCTTTCATCTAAAAAACGTTCTCGCTTTTGAAGTTCTTCAGCAAATTCCTGTTGTGCTGCAGTTTCACACTATCAAAATGCCAAATTTAAGTGTTTTAATAAGTACATTCACAAATTCTACAAATTTTATATTATTTACTAAAATTATAATCAAATGGTACCAAGTAAAATCTGGATTACAGTAACAGACTAGTACAACAGCAACTAAGCATGTACAGAAATTCTATTTTGCTACAAAATGACATGATACTATACTGAGATTCTACTGTGGTAACTCAAAAGAATTTGGGGTCCAAAATTACAGTACTCTACAAAATTAACCCCCTATCCAGCTTAAATTCCACGTTGCACTTCAACTTAACAGTCCAGTCTTTTACTCATATTCTCCACTCCTTTACCTTGAGCTAAAAGACCCGAGTCCTTGCCCAGCCAGCATGGCTCAGTGGTTGAGAGTTGACCTATGAACCAGGTCATGGTTCAATTCTAGGTCAGGGCATGTGCCTGAGTTGTGGGCTCAATCCCCAGTAGGGGGCATGGAGGAGGCACCCGATCAATGACTCTCTCATCACTGATGTTTCTATCTCTCTCTCTCCCTCTCCCTCTCTCTCTCTGAAATCAATAAAGACATATTTAAAAAAATAGAAGAGAGCAGAAGGAAACATCAACTCCCTGTCCTTAAGACACACACATTTCTCCTTCCCTCCCTATCATAAAATAGGATCAGGATCTCATTGCCTTCTGCCTTCTTGTGGGAACTGTCACGCTGACTATCCCTCTAATATTTATAACCTCTTCCATCTCATCTGAAATGAAATCTCTGGACCCCACCCAACTTATCTCCTCCTTCATAAACTTCTTTAAAACTGTGACTACACTTGCTGATCCCTCTTCTTGACCTCTCAATTGCCACTCAGTTCGTTTTAATCTGGCCTCAGCCCATGTACCCCTATTGAAATGGCTTACCTATTACAAAACCTGAAGGTCACTTTTCAGTTCTATTTTATTGAGTCTCTCAGCAATGTTTTATATTATTGCCCCTTTCTTCAAACTTAAAATACACTTTCATCGGCTTCCACATTCTCCTGGTTTTCCACATCCCTCTCTGGGCATGGCTTCTCAGTCTCCTTTACAGGCTCTGCTTCCTCTACTGTCCCTTAATTACCAATGTTCCTCAGGATTTGGACTTAGGCCATTTTCCTTCTCATTTTTCACACTCTCTCTGCTTGGTTCCGTCCACACAATGGCTAACTGCACCCAGCTACACCTACTCAGCTCCTTCTCCCAAGCTCCAAACTCAAGTCCAAACTGCCTATTTAATGTCTCCAACCTATATGCTTTCAGGTAGCACAAAATAAACATGTCCAAAACTGAGTCCAATTAGCCATCAGGGAACTGGAAATCAACACCACCATGATCAGCAAATAAAAGGAACAAAATCCTGCCATCTGCAACAACGTGGATGGATCTAAAGGGTATCATCCTAAGTGAAATAAGTCAGGTAAAGAAAAACACCACATGATTTCACTAATATGTGGAAATTTTTAAAAAATCAGAACAAATAAACAAAACAAAATACAATTTGACTCATAGAAACAAAGAACAAACTGATGTTGCCACAGGGTAGGGAGGTAGAGAGATGGGTAAAAAGGTGAAGGGGAATGTAGTCAATAGTAGAGTGATAACTCTACACCATAATGAATTGTTACTGGGCTTAGTGTGCTGAGCACACCATGAGGTATTTAAAAATGTCGAATCACTATGCTGTACACCTAAAACTAATATAGTATTTTATATCAACTACTATGCTTTCTTATTGTTGTTGTTAATCTTCACCTGAGGATATTTTTTCCATTACTTTTTAGAGAGACTAGAAGGGAGGGAGAAGGAAAACAGAGGGCGGGGGAGAGAGAGAAACATCAGTGTGAGAGAAACACAGTGACTGGTTGCCTCCTGCAGGCACCCCAACTTGGGAAGGGAGCGAACCTGCACTCCAGGTACATGCCCTCTCTCAAGATCTCAACTACTGGTGACAGTCTTAAATATCTATATGTAAATTACTTCCAAATTTAGATACCATCCAAGAACTATGTTCCAACTGCCAAGATGATATAACTACTTACATAATATCTCCATTTAACACTCAAACCTGAATCATTCCAAATTAAAATCACAATCTTTCTACCGAAATCAATTCTTTCTCCAAGTTGTACGAACAAGAGATGAGAAAATGATCTTAAACACCTTACTCTCCCTATACCACATCCAATTCCTGTATACCAAGTCTACTCATTTTTACCTCCAAAATAAATCTCTGATCTGTTCATTTCCATTTCTCTGCTATCACCCACCCCAGTCCAAGTTACCATTACCTCTCCCTTGCACTACTGTAGTGCAATATCGTATCTGGTCTCCCAACTTCCACACCTGTTCCCCTCCAACCCATTTATTTCAGCACACATTAGACTGTGCAATTCCTCTGCTTTAAAAATCCTGAGTTACTTACTATATTTTCCTTAAATGAATATATTATCATGCCTCAGAGGCCTCTCATATTAGAAGATCTCAGTCTAGAATATATCCCCTTTCACTGGGCTAACCCCTACTCATCCTTCAGGGTTTAACTTAACTGTTCCTTTCTCAGAAAAACCCTGCATCATTTCTCAATCTACCCCAATTAGATGTTCATACTGTACCAATATTATTCACTTAAATTTATAAAAGTGTAATTATATAGGTACTCACGATTTGCTTCTAATAAGCTACATCTGGCAAGGACCATCCATATTTTATTTACTTCTATATACTCAGCACTGAGCATGCAACCGGCATATTAACAGTATTTGTTGAATAAAATCACGTAGTATGACAAAAATATATATACTTAATGATAACACAACAGAAGACCACAAAGTAATTTTTAGAGTCAGATTAAACTATAGATTAATTAAACTACTTCATCTTTTAAGTTAAATATTACCTTTATTATGTTTACTGGAGATGGCAGATATATCAGCACAACCGTGCTTATTCTTTTTTCTCCCATAAAGTATTAACAAAGGAATCTTCCCAATGCACTACATTTTCATTCTGTCACTCTTTTGCTTAAAAACCTGTAATACCCAACCTGACTTTTCACTATTTTTCTTTCCCAGGCAGGCTAATAAATTCACAATCTGACAAATCACTCCTTTCTAAAAACCCCTAACCTCCAATTCCTTGTACCTGGAATGCCCTTCACACTCCCCTCCTTTAAATTCTCTCTCAGTCAAATACCACACTAAGTCTCTCCCTGAACTTTCCCTCAGTGATTTTAGGCTAATTTTTTTCTAACACACTATGGTAATTATAATTTGAATTATTTATACAAAATGAGATATTTGTGCTTTTAAATGTTTAACTATTGCATGTGTATAAAAATATAACATATTTCCAACTAGAATTTCAAAAGAAATTGTGTATTGCATATACTTTGCTTCCTTCTGTACTCCCACCTAGTGGACACTTAATAAATTCATGAATTGCCTGCTTTAGAAATAAAAAATCCCCAAGATAAAGGCTAATGTTCTAAAGTGAATTTTGGTGAGAGTTGACAAGAGAACTTCTTACATACAGGTACTTAAAACGATGAATCCAGAACACGTATTTCAAAAAGCATGCTTTACCAGCAGATTTTATTTCTTAAGCAAGAATGGGATTGGAATAAACATAAACCATAAAGTCTGAAATCTAAGAAATATGCCTACACATAAAGACCACTGTTTATATTTTTCTCTCAGCTGTACATTTTCCTCTTCAATAGTTCTTATAAATTGTTTGTTCCCTTCCAACCTTGACATTTTATCAAAAACAAAAATGAAATATCTTGTAGTATTTAAATTTTGTAAATGTTTGGTGTTTAGAACATAAACATTTCTGAATTCTCAGTCCAGTATTTAGTTCTTACCTGCAGTTTCTGATGTATTTGAGATAATTCACAATATATCTGATTGACCTGATATGGGAGTAAACTCTGCTTATTTGATGCTTTAGATGTTGGATAGTTGACAGGTTTCAAAGGAGAGTCACTTGCATCACTACAACATTCAGTCCAATTTCTTGAATTTGAGGTCAAATTAGTTGGCCAGGCTACTGCTAAGAAAATACAGTTTTAAACTTTAGTTTTAAGTATTCACAGATAATCTTCAGGAAGAACTACTTTACATATGAATTATAGTACTGTTAAAAGCTTTAGGCAAAATACACAGGCTATGTATGTGACATAGCAAAGGGAGCAAAGTGTCACATCTGGAGAACGTGGGCAGAGGCCACACGGAATTCTGTCTTTTTCTTTTTTCCTTTCATCCTCATCTGACGATATTTTTCCATCGCTTTTCAAAAAGAGTGGTGGGGGGGGGAGAGAGGGAGAGAGAGACATCAATGAGCAAGAGACACACTGATTGGTTGCCTCCCACACGCCCCAACCGGGGATTGAGCCTGCAACCGAGGTACGTGTCCTTGGCTGGAATTGAACCCAGGACCCTTCAGTCCGCAGGCCAACGCTCCAACCACCGAGCCCAACCGGCTAGGGCTCTTTGTACTCTTTTTGCAACTTTTTGGTAAGTTTGAAATCGTTTCAAAATAGAGTATTTTAAAGTACACGAAAACACTCAGGTATTAACTACCTAGGCCAAGAAATGTAGTTACTTCAGAAGCTCCTGATCATGTCTTAACCACTAACCCAAACGCAGTGTTAATCATTGCTTCACTTCTTTTTCATTTTTACTACTTAAATAAAAAAAGGCCTTATTTGGTTTTTTGGCCTATTTTAAACTTTATACAGTGTCTATAATTATATAATGTAATTATGTAATTACTATAACCTCCTCCTTTAAACATGTTCTTGTTTTAATGCCAGAATGATCTGACTGCTTGATCCTATTTTATATTTTTATATGCCAGGAGAAGAGATGCCTAATGGCTATCGCTGTGGCAACAGTGCTCTCAAACCTTGCCAAGAGAGGGCACTGTCTCTGACTGCCTCTTTCCTCCAAGTCCTAACAGAACTATGCAGTCAGGCACATAGAGATTAACTGCTAGTTCAGTGCCTAAGGAAGCCATACCTTAAGGAATCTGAAGTACTTTTTAAAAATATATCTTTATTGATTTTAGAGGAAGGAAGGGAGAGAGAGAAACATCAATGACAGAGAGCCACTAATCGGCTGCCTCCTGCACGCCCCCTGCTGGGGATTGAGCCCACCACCCCGGCATGTGTCCTGACTGGAGTGGAACCTCGGTCTCTGGATCCTAGGTCGACGCTCAACCCGAGCCACGCCTGCGGGGCTAAAGAATTTTCTTAGAATATTAAGGGATTAGTCAAATACTACCAACAATCTTTTACTCACTTCCTAACAAACACTGACATGAAAAAGAACTAAAGAAATTATACAAAGTATTCAACTGATTAACTTATTTTCATAAGTTCTGAGAGTTTACAAATACTACTGGAAAACAATGAAGTTTATTTTTCTCTTTTCCTTTAGTTTATAATAAGCACAGTAACTACCTCATGGCTTACAAAAATTCAGAACACAGAAATACAGACACCTGAGTACAAGTGTTATTACTATGGGGTAAGCTTTTTGTGCGCTACTTCACATAGTTACTATTTAAATGATTATTCTAAAACGATTATTTCTTTTACCTTTTTTTACTTCTTTAAAAGGTTGCTTGGTTATTTTGCAACTACTAACTCTATGGTCCTTCTCAATTAACTCTCCTTCAGTTTCCTGTTGCTTCGAATTCTGACAAGAATCCAGTTCATCATCTAGGCTTTAAAAAAAATTATGTCACAGCATTCTAAAAAGATAAAGCTGCTTTTCAAATATTAACAGCATCACAACTGAGAAAAATGTAACAAGTAACAGTCACTGATCCCATAAACTCACTAAAAGTATCCTCCTACATATACAGATGTGTTTCACTGAAAACTGCATTTACCTGTAGAATGCTCTACAACTGCCAAACTCTTTCTTTTAATTCCTAATACTTCTGTGTGGTAGATATAACAGGTATTGTTATCTATCAATTTAGCTAAAAGAATTATTGTTTAACATGAGGAAAGTGAATCTTAAATCATTTCAATAACTGGCAGGTGATATAACGAGTAAAAGTTGAAAGAGAACTAGACTCCCAAGTGTTCTCACCAAAAAAATGACCTCAAACTTGAAATTTCTCAAGTAGTACTGTTCAAAGGGAATATAATACAAGTCACATAAGGTAATTTAAAGTTTTCTAGTAGCCACACTAAAAACATAAAAAGATGTTAATTTTAACAATATATTATATTTAACCCGGTATATCTAAAAGACTATCATTTTAACATGTAATCAATATTTAAAAATTAGGATATTTCACATTCTTTAACCCATCTTCTTCAATCTGATGTGTATTTTAGACTTCCAACATACCTCAGTTCAGACAAGCCTATTTCAAGTATTCAACAGCCACACAGCGCTACTGTGCTGGACAGTACTATAATTCTACACTAGATCATAACTAGGGATTGTGAAAAAACCCGTCAAATGTTATAAAAATCTTTATAGTCCAAAAGCTTCAAATTATAATTTGAAGTATACCCAGAAAAAAAATTATAAAACTACCAGTTAAATATAAGAAAATAATTTCCATGAATTCATAATTATTTTAAAGTATTTTTCACTTTCCTTACTCTATATTCAATATACCTCATGTCCAAATCTTGAATCCAGATCAACTTGGTTACTCTGTGAGTGCCAAAGAGTAATAACAACAATGATGATGATAATGCATATTTCAATGCTTTTTTATGTGTTGAACACTGTTCTAAGTGGCACACATGGATTAATTCACTGAAGTAGAGAATGAAGCAATTATATTAAAAATTCAAGCTCCCAAATATCAATCACATTAATAATATATATTATATTGGGCACAATTGTCTTTTTTCTCTATATATAATTATCTCAAAATTTCATTTTGCTTATGTTTTTGTGGCTTAACATTATTTCAAAATGTTTACTCCTCAATACCCATAGCATTTCCTTAGGAACTGCCACATATTTTTGGCATTTAATAAGATTCAATTTGGAATTTTATTTCACCTTAGCTTCCGCTGTTTTTATACTTGTTTTATCCAGGATAAAATCTCCTGCACAAAACTGCTAATCCCTCACAGCCCAGTTAGCATCTCCCAGACTGATTTCTTCAATTTCTCTCTCTCTTAACCTATCTAAAATTCCTTGCTTACCACACTACTAGACACACACTACTATTCAGCAGGCTCCAGACTCCTATACTTCCTCTCAGAGAAAAGCAATACATAAAGAATCCATCCTTTGCCCTTTCTCAGTTTTTTGAGATACTGAGGGATAGCAACAGTAAGGATACAGGGTACTTTACCAGTTCACACTGAGGTGCTCGGACAAACTACAAAGGGGTAGAGTGGAAAGCTTTCTTTCATCAGAATGCCATCTTACTAAGGAACCGACTTTATCTCCAGATGAGTAGAGATCCAAATCATCTGTTAACAAAAAAGAAAATAGCACAGATTACTTACTAAAATCAAATACTAATGATCTCATTCTAGGCTCCTAAAGATAAGACAGCAAAATTACTTATAGGATTTCTTGTATCTATGTCTCCCTAACGCAAACTTCCAGAAAATAGACATCAAATCTTATATTTACACTATAGCACTTTACTGATTACAAAATGCATTTTCATCCAATTCCTTACTTGATCCTAACCCCGCAAAGCGAACAGAATAGGTGCTTGTAATTCTATTTCAATGGTTAGAAACCCAAGAACCAGAGAAGTTATGTGAAATTTTCCACATAATACAACCAGCAAACAGAAAGAAAAAAATTCAAAATCCAGCCCTCTTTCTACCTACTCATGGTACTTCATCAGTCCTCAATCATGAAACATTTTATTTTTAATTTTATACACTTTAAACATTAAGATTTGTTTAATAAACTATTAGCCTATATCTAAGTTCAGTGAAAAAAAAGGGAGAGAAGAGCTTTTCTGATAAGCTATTTAGAAATACTTATAAATGTATGCACCCTACTCTAACACTCATTGTTACCCCCTCAGAAATTTAATGACCTATACAGTACTTTTCAGTTATATTTTGGAAGAATGGAATTTTTAGGGCAATTTTCAAAACTAAAATTCAATCTTAATTAACAATGTTTTTAAGATACTGGACTCTCAGTAATAACTGGAATATTTTTTTCACACCGAACAAATGTTCAGAAGATTGTTACAAAATTTCAAAATGAAATACGCTTGAAAAAAATTGAAATTCCTTAATCCACCATCTAATGAACTTTTAAAGATATTAACTACTGTTTCTGCTATAATCATCTCAAAGTTCAATGATTATACTTACTAAAGACACTGCCTGGAACTATCAACAAATCAAAACTTTAATGGTTAATTAGCTGTACATGTTAGTTACGGATTACCACATGATGTTCCAACACATCCAATCCCACGGTATAATTATCTTTATTAAGTAAACTTATTTTATAAATTCCTCCAGTGCAGTAATTACCCTAACTTAGAAAAGTTTGTGCATAAAAATAGCCATTAGTTTTTTTTACCTAATTATACTGCTTAATTTTTAATATAAAAATACTGTAACTGAAACACCAAAAAAATTAAGTTTGATTTTTAAAGACATCTTACACATTTACCTCCAAAATCATGCTTACTATTAGTTCATTACCAGACTGAAAAAAGCTTAGTATCACAAGACATCTGGCAATCGCTATTAAGTCTAAACATTTTTTTAAAAATCTTTTCTTTCAAATTAAATTTGTTAAAACCTCAAATATACAAAATTCTCTATTGGTTTACCTGGGGAAGTTAGAGATCTTCTCTTACATTTAGCCTGATCAAAACTTGAAACAGCATACTAAAAAAAGAAAAATGATGACATTTAATATGTATATTAAGAATCAACTTACAGTGTCAAAATAGTTCCCTACAAATTATGTATTAAGTACAAAGGCTAGCATTTAATTAGACCAGTGGAGAAATCTGGTAGGCACCACCTTAACCAAGTGACCAAAGTTAACATCACCAATAATGGGACAAAGCAACATCATGCCCTCACGAACACAGCAAACCACACATCATGCAATATTCCTGCCAAAAATATATAACCAGTATCTAATCATGAGGTATCATCAGACAAACCCACACTGAGTGATATTCTAATAAATAATTGTCTATACTCTTAAAAACTATCAATATTACAAATGACAAAGGCTTCAGAACCTGTTCCAAATTAAAGGCAATAAAAGAGAAAAACAAATGGAATGCTTGTTTTGATTGTATCTGCACCAGGAAAAATATTTTTTTACAAAGGATATTACTGAGGTTACCGGTAAAATCTGAATATGAAATACATAATATTGGAGCAATGGTAAGTTTCCTGAATTTATTACCCTACTCTGCTTATATAAGACGATGTCCTTATTTCTATGAAAAAACACAAGTATTTATTTTTGACAGTGGTCACGATGCCTACAAATTACCCTCAAATGGTTCAGAGGGGAAAATGTATGTATGGAAAGGGCGTCAGTAAGAGGGAGAGGCCCCACCTGGCGGGGCTCAGCGGTTGAGCGTGACGGAGGATCCCGGCGACCGCGGTTCGATTCCCGCTCAGGGCACATGCCCGGGTAGCGGGCTCGACCCCACCCCAGCCCTGCAGGGGGCAGCCGGTCAACGACGACGCGCTCATCGTTTATGTTTCTCTCTCTCTCTCTCCCCCCCTTCCTTTCTCTGAAATCAATAAAGATTATATAGAGAGAGAGGGAGAGAGAGACGGAGGGAAGGGGAGGGAGATAATGGTAAAGCAAATGTGGCAAAATGTTTACTAATGGCGAGTCCAAGAGAAGGGTACAAGAGTATTAATCTGGCAACTTTTTTAGTTTTAAATTATTTCAAAAATAAGCCTTTTAAAAGAGTTAAACTGTTTCCTGAACTCATTCAAGTCACTATAAATAGAAGTTCAAAAATACTTTCAACAGTGGCACAGCAAAATCTGTATGACATAACCTTCCAAAGTTACGGTGAGGGAACTTCTCTGAAGAAGCCTGTTCTTCCCGCGCGTGCCCTCCATCGACCC